TCAAAGACGAGATTAAAGTACGGTAAAGAAAGTGAAGCGAGGTTGTAATTATATAAATTTACTATAATTTTGATGGTAGATAGAATAAGGAAATAAATTGGAAAAATGCACCTACTCTTATAGAATAAAAGGATCACTATATCCAAAATGATATCATGTATATTGCTTGGGGTTTACGGTTATAAACTTCCTTTTTTTTTTAATTTACAAACACATATAATGTAGAAATGTGATGTATTAACAAAAAAACATTACTTTTGAAGMTATTAGGCCCTATAAATAATTTTTTGGACTTGGTTTGTAACAGTACAAGTTTTGGATTAAACTTGTAGATTAAGTTAGGAGCCGTTTAACAAACTTTACTTTACGGGGTTAGTTAAATTATCGGATTAACATGGTTACGACCAAGAGTCTTACCCGGCAAACGCTTACCGCGTAATCAGATACTACAATTTATAATTAATTTACACTAGAAAAACATTATTGACTTTGGACTACTTCAAGTCTACAACCGTTCATATTCTTTGTGATATATAACCGGATCCTGGTTGTCACCTGAGGTAATTAATATATGATTATTTGTTAAATGATTACGTCATAGCTTGATAAATTGTTATATATTTGATCATGCTAATATATGAAATTTTATGCATAGGTAATATATGCATAATATGAAAAATATATGTTATATATATATATATATATATAAACATACATGCATGATATTTGGATGCATGGAGATGAGTAGCCACCTTCCCTATTAGGGAAGGGTATAAAAGGAGGTTGAAACCTTCATTTCAATCTTCTTGCTATTCTGAGACTGATTGAATGATTTAAAGTGAAGAGTGTGTGACCAGATTGTCTTGATCGGATTACAAGTTGAATTTCAAGTGGCTGGTTTTCAAAAAGATTTCAAGGTGAGTGATTTAAATGTTTTAACCTCTTTGAAATGCATAAATTATTTGTATAAACTTTTCACCCGTTTTGAAGTTTAAACCATATGAGTGTTAAGCGATTTATATATAAACCGGGCAAGTGTTAAACGATTCATATATAAACCGATCAAGGGTTAAGCGGTTTAGATATAAACCGGACAAGGGTTGAACGATTTAAAGGTAAACTGGACATAGTCTCGACCGGTTTAAGAATAATCCGATCAAAGTGTTGGCCGGTTTCTGTAATGAGCGATTTAAGAACTTTGATTTTATGTCAAGTGTTTCAATCGGAGAAGTAGAAATACGACTATGGGGTTGGCCGATTTATTTAAATCGGACATGTTACCCGGATTGTTAAATCGGACAAAACATGAATAGTGTTGTCCGGATTAGTAATCCGGACAAACTGTTGGGAATTATTCCAAGTATTAAATCGGACATAATGTGAAGTATTGTCCGGATTTGTAATCCGACCAAGGTTTTGTCCGGATTATGTGTTGACTTACCATTGTATTAATTTTGAAGAAATATTAAAACGACTGAAATGTCATTTATGTTAACACCTATGATAAGATGTATTGTTGTATACATGTGATATTTAAATAGAAAATTGTTAGTTTTTGATAATCTAACGACATAATTGTTACGAATAAACTATTTTGGATGAAATTGTAACATTGAAACTTTTGGACTAAACTCTTAAGTTAGATAATAGTCCTCAACACAATTTATAATTAATTTACACTAGAAAAACATTATTGACTTTGGACTCCTTCAAGTCTACAACCGTTCATATTCTTCGTCAACATTTTCTGAAATATTTTTGTTTTATTTTTACCGAGGTTCACCTTGATCCCAKATGCTAGTTGAAAGAACAGTCAAGATCCGGATTAGATTCCTTGCGTAATTGAAACTCCATTCACGGAGGAAAATAACGTTATCCGCATAATGAAGGATTGAGATTTCGGCCCAATATTGGAGTGACAGACCCCTCTTCCGGGAGGTCTTCTTCAGGGCCTCCATCATAGTCACAATCAACCCTTTGACCGCGACGTTTAAAAAAGGGGGATAAAGGGTTTCCTTGGCGAATTGCTTTCTCAAGCTTAAATTCTTTAGTTGGAGCCCCATTAACAAGCACCGATGTTTTGCCTATCTTTTTAAGAGCTGCCATGGGCATTTTTCTTTAGGAGATGGAAGCCGAAACCACCTTCTCCAAGTCGTCCTGAAACCCATTTAAGACATTACCTCATCGAGATATTCCAGTTCAAGTTGTTGAAGGCTTTTTCGAAGTCCACCTTAAATGTAAACATTTTCTTTTTTCATTTTTCTCCCATAAGCTAGTCTCATTGACTATAAGGGTCCCATTGAGAATGTTGCGGCTTTGGATAAAAGCTGACTGTTCACGACCAATTACCATGCCCACCACCTTTTTAAATCTTTCTTCCAATGTTTTGGAGATGATGTTAATGATACACTCGATGAGGTTGATAGGTCTATATTTTGCGGAGTTTATAGGTCTTTCACTTTTGAGACAAGAGATATGAAGGAGGAATTTCTGCCAAAACTAATGAAAGGGTGTTGTTCGATGAATTTCACTACAAAAAGAACATCTGGACCAGTCACATCCACAAAAAGATTAAAATCTCCATCGTCCTCTGTATGCGAAATTTTTTGGAGTCTAAATAGAGGTATTCGTCCAATAATTTGAGAACCTTTTGGCACTTGAAAAGCTAAATGATGTTCTCTGTAAAACCATATAGTTTCGTTAAAAAAATTCAACACAAATACACTTACCTAAGAAGAGGTTAAAATCACTTTTGTGCTTCAAGTGATTTTATTATGATTGTAAGAGATTTATTTGAGAGTATATAAGWAAATACATTCCAAGCTCTTGCCAAAGGAAAAAAATGTGTAATTGCACTCGGTTTCAATAGTATCATACATAACAACTTGCCAAAGGAAAAAAATTGCACTCAGTTTCAATAGTATCATAAAAACCAAATTGCCTCGGTTTGACGGACCAATGCATTCCACACGGTAGGTTTAATGAGAGTTATTTTGTTTAACTGTAAAAGTTTAACGTTCTGAATTGACAAAAATGATTTTTCGTATGAACTACAAGCCTCATAAACAACTCTTGTATTTTTATATTATTAGATGTGCACTAGTAACCGAAATGCTTTTCTCTAAGAAGATAATCTATTAGTTTAAAAAAGATAAATATCCAACAAAGTGGGTACAAATTTATATTAAAAAAAAAAAACTTTTTTCCTTAACACATTGTTCTTGTTTTAACACATTCTCTCTCTCTCTCTCTCTCTCTATATATATATATATATATATATATGTATTATTTGTTATTTTTATATATAATCAAAACATATTGGAATTAGTCTTAGGTTATGGTACAAGTTTGAGAGCGATTATATTGAATAACATTTTTTACTAGAATTTTTCACCGGCATTTCTTTTAATACATTAAGAAAATTTCAAAGATGAGATTAAAGTAGATGTATTTGCTAAAGAATGTCAAGTGAGATTGTAATTATATAAATGCGTGATAAATAGCTTACAGAATAAGGAAATAAATTGGAAAAATACACCTACTCTAATTCAATGAAAGGATCGCTATATTGTTTTTGGTTTTGAAGCGTTTCAAGATGATATCAGAGTCGATCATGCATATTGCTTGGGGTTTACAATTTTAAACTTCCTCTTTTTTATTTACAGAAAACGTACAATGTAAAAATGTAATGTATTAACTAAAAGACGTTACTTTTGTAGATATTAGAGCCATGTCGCTACAAATAAATTTTTTGGACTTAGCTTGTAACAATAGATGTTTTGAACTGAAATTGTAGATTTTGGAGGATGTCTACCAAAAGGTTGCCGGGTCATTTAGTTAGGGCCAAGAATCCTACCCGGTAAAGATAAGGCAAAAAACAAGAGTCTTACCCGGTAAACAATTACCATCATTAATACCTTAAAACAAGAGTGTGTGTATTACACACGTATTCACATTATTGTATATATAGAAATTGTTTACAGTCCTATGTAAGGATTATGTTGCAATAAGAGTAGATGTATATATAGTGGCACTTGTTATATTGTATTTTGTGAGTAGATGTATAGTGGCACTTGTTACATCTCCATATAACTAAAAATATCAGTTGCTGAAATATGCTATAAAAAGAATGACTTTTTTTGGGTAACATGGATTCCCGTGTAGCTTACGTGGATTGCGACTAATTCTCCCGGTGACCACAAATAGCCTGAAGCCATCGCAGGTGAGCATGGACACAGGGCTTTAACAACGCCTTGGATTTGAACCCAACGAAGATGAGGTTTTCCACTACGTCCCCATGAAGTTTAATCAATGCGTCAGAAACTAGTGGTTAAGAAAAAGAATGACTATTTCTATGGGAAACAAATAGTTTTCCCAGTAGTTTTCCGTCTATCTCTGCATTCAGAGTTCCTAACTAAATTACTAGTAATCCCATGTTTATCACGACTGTTAGGGAGACGTGGGATGGACATACTACTAAACGCTGAAATTTCAAAGACAATTTATTACCGACAGATATAAGAGTTAGTGATCTCACACTGATCACTAACATTTGTTTTTCTCATTTTTTGCCCTGTAGTTTTTATAATTGTAGGTGAGCTATCGATGAAGAATACACTCACATATAGATGGCCAACAAAAAGAAACATATTATCCGTCAACAACTAAAACTTACAACATCCAACCTCTGTGCTCTGGCCATTGCAGATCACCAAAGGAGTAGCAATGGATTCAGACTCGAATAAAAAGAAGGAAAAATAGCTTAAAGATCCATCCGTGGGTCAATGATGAATCCTACCATAACTAATGGATTCATGGAGGATTCACCAGTTGCAGAAAGTGCCCAGTTTTGTTAGCGGCAGTGGAAGGAAGTAACATCAAGGACGTTGGTTCGAATCTAGATATCATCAATATTCCATTGTGAATGTATCACACCCATCAACAGAAAGGGGTCATGTACTTTTTTCCAATTAAATTTGGTGGATAATGAGTTTCACTTGAATCTTGTAAATTAGTGATACCATCGATAAATGCAGTAGTTCAGATATTTATTACACCATGTCAGGACTTGAAACATTGAGGACAGTTACATGATCGATAAGGCCTTGAACAAGAAAACCTTATTGGAAAGAAGTAAACTATGGCTACAACTATTTGTAGTATGTCTACCGACACATTTATGAATTACTTGGAGAATACAAACCAAAATCAAGATTTTTGGATTAACCCGAGAAGCGCAAAGGCACTAATATTTGTTTTGACTGAGAAAATTGAGTAGGAGTTGATTCACTTTGTCAGGGAACTGTTCATGAACAAAATGAGATCCTTCGGGTAAGTACATAACTTCGAGGTTGGGTACATATTTCTTGATGCCACCCTTCAAGTATTCATCCATTCCGGGGAAGCTGAAAAAAAAATCTTTTTCTCCTGTGATAAATAGTGCTGGAGCTTCAACAATTGGGGCATTAGGGTCTTGGTTTGGAGGCGCAATTTTCTCCGACAATGACCTACAATGATTAACGAATTTGAGGACAACATGGAAACATATATAGGCGCAAAAAGAGCTACAAGAACGTTAGCTTGTTATCGGGTTATTAGTTCTAAAATATTAAAAATAGGTCGCATTTAGGTTAACATAATTCTAGATTTTAACCGTTGTGGAATTTAGTCCATGAATGTTATATAATGACATTGATCAATTCGTTGTTTCGAAATTTTGTTATTTTTTAATCTTTTGTTTCGCGTTTAAAAACTATAAAGAGAAAGATGCATGGCGATTTTCATTTGCAGGTTAACTTGATAGGTTCGATAAATAACCTGTAAGGAATTTGGAGTGCGGTTAGAAATCCAGACTTCATATAGGAAGCTGCATATGTCTCAAGATCCTCCTCCGTGAACCACGAGGGTAGAGGAGCCGATGGATCCACCAAATCCATTATTTCCTGGTTTTCACTGGCTATGGGTACTTCACTTTTGGAGAACAAAATGTAGATGCTTCTCACCACTGTTTTAGCATCAAACCGGCTGAAATCAACTTCAGCTCTTCCATGTTCCTAATAAAAAAATCATTTATATTGTTAATTAAATTGCATGGGACATTTATAAAAGCAGAGAGGTCGAGAAAGGGTGTGTATAGTACCTGCCATCTCCGCATGTAGAAACCTTCAGGGAGTGTTTGAAGTTGCTGCAAAGCCTCAGGGGGCATATATGGAATACCAAGTGTTATGATGCCTGCAACTTGTTCCGGAAAGTAAAGGGCAAATATGTAGCCAACCATTCCTCCAAAGTCTTTTCCAATCACAAACACCTAATAATGTTTGGACAATTAATGCATTAAATACTATTAATTAAGCAACTCGGACCGGCCAAACCAAACCAAGCCTCGTCTACACGGATTACGATGGAAAAACATAATCGTCCACACAACAATATCTAGATATAAAGATATGTACCTTAGATATGGCAAGAGAATGCAGGATGATGGCAGTATCTTTGACCAAATCAGCGAATGACGTCTTCTCAGGTTCTGCAGGTATATCAGAAAGTCCATAACCTCTATAATCCGGTGCAATGGCTCTGAAACCAGCATTTGCAACAGCAATCATCTGATGACGCCAAGTGTATGATATCTCGGGAAATCCGTGGAAAAAAAGCACAGCCGGAGATGATTCCGATCCAATCTCGGCTACGTGGAGTTTTAGCCCGTCAACTTGGACGTAATTGTGCTTAATTTGATCCATTTTTTTCACAATGAGATTTAAGAATGAAGAGTGAGTATGAGTTTCTATGCAAAGGTGTTGGTATGAGGTTATGGTTATGCGTTTGTGGTTTTATAGTGTGTTTGAGCTACAAACATTATGACTTTTCAAGATGTTAAATTTTAAAAAAATATTGATTTGACGCTTGACGAACCAATATTTCCTTAAACAAGTGCAAAATAAAATTTATAAAATCTACATGGAAAAAATAATCAATTCTTTGGGTTGCTTCGAGAATTTAAAAGTTGTGGGGTTTTTTTTATGTTCTCTAAATTAAAGTTTTTAAAATTTCTAAATTAGAAGAACGTCGTAAATATTTTTGTGAACAAGATTTATACATTGCATCTGAAGGTAGTCGGACGTGGGTTCAAATCTTGCTTCAGGGAAGAAAACGGAGAAGGCAGCGAAGGGCCTTTCCTTGTTTTTATCTTTTTTTATCAGATCAGTTCATTCTGTTAAACAAGCGGGTGACTTTTAATTAGAATTTTTTTTATTAACCTAGATATTCAACCCGCTATGTGACCGGACTAATTTCTAGGGTGACCACTCGCAACCGGAGTCACCACATTTAAACCTCCATGGCCACAAAGGGGATTTTCTATTTCTCCTTGTATTCGAACTTAGGACTTCCAGACACTTTTGACCTTTGAAGCCAAAGCTTAAACCCTTGTGGTTTTTTTAATTAGAAATTGTGAACTCTTGAAAGCAAGCTAAGTAACGCTATGGTCATATTTTTTGCAACTCCACTCTAATTACCAAATCTTATTCGAAAGTAAGGTCCGAAGGGTATGACATACGCAAATTCATCATTTATCCCAAGTAGTAGATCGGCTATTAATTTACGTCTTATTTTTTCTTTTTGTATACATAAATAGTCAAGACATATCGGAACTAGTCTTGCGGAGTGGTACAAGTTTGACAACAGTCATCTTGATGATTTCGTTTTTGCTAGAATACAGAAAACAACGGAATTTTTTAGCACATCAAGAAAATTCAAAGATGAGATTTCAAGTAAACATTTACCTGCTATTATTGAATAATAGAAATAGAAGATAGGATGAAATATACGTGGAAAAACACACACCTGCTATTATTGAATAAAAGGATGACTGTATACAATGTCCATGTATAATTGAAACCAACTTAAAAGTTGAGTTATTCTATTATTATTACTAGAAGGGTACTCGTGCAATGCAACAAGATAAATCTCGATGTTGATGTTTAGTTTTTATTCTTTGTTTCTATCGATATAATACGATTTTATGTGGTTTTGATTTTTGAGAAAACGGTAATGTTTTTATTTTTGGATTAAAATATCAATTTGAAGATAACATAAAAATTTGTAAAAAAATAAATCGATAACAATATCAAATTAACTATTTAACAGTTCTCATTTTTTTGGTGTAACTTTTCTAATTTAATTTTTTATTGTAATTTAATTTAGATTTAATAATATAATTTTTTTATAAAGATAATAATTAAATATTCTGTTAGAACTCAATAATTATCTTAATTATATTTTAGATTTCTATCTTTAAAATTGATGTTTATCCTATATTTAATTATGTTATCAACAGTCAGTTACACGAATTTAAAAATGGAGCTTTAATAAGTTGTACCTACGCAAAATTGCTTGTAATCTTAAATTTTAAGTAATATGCATCAATAAACAGTAATTCATGCATAAAAATGGTTTTTAAGAGTTTTTGTCAAATGCTTTATAATATAGTATAAATTATAACAAAAATGAGTTTATAAGACGTGTAAAATGTCTAAACGTCTTAATAAAATGTTTTATAGGACTTAAGTTTATAATACAAAACATTAAAGTGTGTTAATAGGATATTTTTAAAATAAAAGCGTTGTATTAACTATTTAGTGGAACACTTTTGAAATAATGGCTAACATGATACTTTATTTTAAAAATGTTTAAATTATTTTTATTAAAACGTCTTATAGACCTATTGTAACACTATTTGGTAGAGCGTTTTACTGTTTGATTCTCTAAACTTAAGTCCTGTAAAATAATCTATTATGACACATATGCAGTCATTTTGGCTTCATTTAAACATGGTTTTGTTATAATGTATTTTAGGCTTGGGGACATTGCTAAGTATTATTGGAATCAATTCTCGTGTTATCGGAATTTATGAGCTCCTTATAAATTTAAAATCATACGATGCAGTTCGCTTGATTTAAAAGTTATTAGATTAATTAAGCGCTTTCGACTTTAAGCCTTAAAATTAATGATATGTTATAAATATAGAATAAGTGAGATAATTTATTTATTATTTTTGCAACGACCAATAACCAACCACAAAAATTGGGGTCAAGTGACCAATACTGTATTTTGATCCACTATTTGAAAAATAATGATGTCATTGTCGAATAATCACAAAAAAGATGACTTGCTAGGAAAGTTTTTAAATGTGTTTATGTTGCTTGAAAGTATAACAATCAATTGTTTGATTGTTTGGCAAGTTTCTATTATTGAAGGAACCAATACTTAAAATGATAAAAACACATTTCCACAGGGAGCCAAAAAAAACTATAACTAGTTGTATGTCACTATCAAACAGGTCAACATTTCTGACGGCAATATCCGCCAGAAATCCTTATTACCGGCGGAATTTCGGCGGATATTACCGCTGAAAATGTTGTCGCCGGTGATTAATTTACCGAAGAGTTTACCGGCGGATTCCGGCCGCCGGAAACTTTTCACCGGTTTAGTTAAGAAATCTTGATTAAATTAAGATACAATTTAAGGGGTTTTTTTTAAAATGAATTGATTTACCGGCGGATATTTCCGCTGGAAATCCGTCGGTAATAATTTTCGCCAGAAAATTTTGAGAATAATTTTTAATTTTTAATTACTTTCCGGCGGAATTTCGGCGGATCTTAATTTTAAAAAATTAATTAAATATCCATCGGAAATCCACCGGTAAATTATTGTAATTAGATTTAAATACAAGCCTAAAATAATTCATTACGAACTCCGCTAGAAATCCGCCAGAAATATTATCAGAATAATATTTTATCGGCGGATTTCTGGCGGAAGCCAAAATAAGTTGACTTTTTTGTTGTTCCACAGTAATCCGCCGGTATATTTCCGGCGGATTTCGCCCGCCGGAAATAGCTTGTTTTCTAGTAGTGTATAGTTAATAATTTGACATAATAATCTCATAGTTAAGAGTCCAAATCATTTTATCCAAACTTTAAAAAACCATTATTAACTTCAAATTTTACTAATTAGATATTTATTTTTAAAACCTGCATTTATATGTACTCGAAGATAAAAAGATTACCAACTATCTTCATAGAGCTTAATTATTTGAAAACTCTAAAATTTGTAAAATCCGTAAGAATTTTTACCTTAAGGTTTTGTTTCACATGGTTTTTTTTCATCTAAATATAATATTTAGTGTATTGATTAACATATATTTGTTTCATAGGTATTCGATCCATAATGTGAAACTTTTTAACGTGTATTTTTGTTTCAATAATAGGCCATAAAGGTTTACATTGTGAACCGAGTACATGTGAACAAATACATGTTAATCACTACATTAAATTCTACCTATGGATGAAAAAAAATCCATATAAAATACCACATGATGCACTGATTCTCAGAGATTTCACAATTTAGAAATTTCTCAAAAGAATATCTCCCTATCTTCAGATTCATCCAAAAATCATATTTGTTGTAATAAGATCTTATCAGTATATTGGTATAAGATCTTATCAGTATATTGGTATTTTACGTGAACCAATACGTCCATATGAACCCTTTTAACATTAAAAAATTGATTATTATAATTTCAATTCTCAGTAATCAAGTTTTCAACATATTCAAACAACTCCAATATTATTTAAAATTTATCATGTATGAGTTATGAAGATGTGAGTCTTTGACCATCATTGGGCTCTTCCAATGTCACATAGGAAACAATGACCCAAAATTATATATCTTTTAGTCTTTATCCATATGTATAGAGAAAGGTTCATTTGAGAAGTAAAGAAAAGTGATCCTACATCTTCATCTGGTCAATATTTGCGACTTTGGCCGTGAAACATCTGATAATTCCTCGTATGGATATGCAGGAGATAGAAGTGTAGTTTCGTAATTTTTACAAATAGGCGGCAACTGTGTTCATATGTGAACCTACGTGATACACATATGAACTATATGTTAATATGTGAACCCGTTAGTTAGTTCATATATGAATCACAGATGTTCATACGTGAATCACACGGGTTCATATGTGAATTAGTTAATTAGTTCATATGTGAATCACAAAGGTTCATATATGAATCAGTTAAAATAGTTCATATGTGAATTACACAAGTTCATATATAAATTGTTCATATATGACCTGTTTGCCACCTATTTATAAAAGTTACAAAACTACCCTCTGTATTTTTTTCATAGCCGCAATTTTTGACCAATCAAAACCGTAATTATTGACTAGTCGAAGCCGCAATTATTAACTAGTCAAATCCGATATTAATCGTATAAAGGTCTACGATCACTTCTTTACTTCTCAAAATATATACCACTTCCCAGAATAACCTTTGGATATATATATATATATATATATATATATGTGTGTGTGTGTGTGTGTGTGTGTGTGTGTTTGCGCGCGCGCGCATGTGTGGCTTTAATCTCAGCCTTATAAATAAGAATCAGATCATAGTACTTACCATTTCCATATAGTTTTCCATATAATATATGGTATGAGTTTCTATATTTTGTTTTATTCATTGCTTGTCTCATCGATCAATAGTCTTGACACTTATCTGGCACGGCCTCCAAAAATATGGGAACGCGCCCCTAGATTTAACGTTACCATTGTGTATGTAAAAAAAGAAGTTATTTCTTAATTAAAATGGAATTAAAAGTGAAAAGTAATAGTAAGTTATATTATAACATAATTTAATATTACTTGCCTTAATAGACAAATGGCAGTGGAGGTTCAAAAATGAAGACGAGGCTTTGTGGAAG